CCCATGACCAGTAGGGGGGGGGGGGGGGGGGGGTGGAATGGATGCTGATGAGAGGTCTTGTGGAAGAACTTGTGGCTTTTTCTCTGTGCAGTGCTGTGTGCTCCCAGGTCCCACTTGGCGTCTCAGTGCTAGGGACATGGCCTCCTGTATCAGAGGGGCAGTACTCATCTGTAGGTACTCAGTATTTGTGGGATTGACTCGGGTTTAAAATATAAAATAATAATAAAAAAAAAAAACCTGCAGGTGTTAAATACAGGAAGTCCACAGATTGGCAAAATTGAGTGGTTCCAAATATTGTTAATTTTGCCATAAGTCACACATGAAAGGAAAACACATAGAAGATAATTCCTATGTGGGAGGTTGCACACAAGTGGGCATGGGTATGCTTTCTGATATGGAATATGGCTGAAGCTCATACCCCACACTTCCAAATTCCCCTTTCACGTATTTCCTTCATTTTATTGACACAGGTTATCACTCTCTGGGTAGAAAGCACCAGAAATACAAACAAGATACTTTCCCTGAAAAGAACCATCGTCCTACATAATCTTTCATTCCCACAACCCCAGACATGATGCAAATATCCTAAGAGCAGTAAGATTAGGTCCTCAATTTCCAGTTGCAAATTCATTTATCTCACAAATAGTTTAACCATTTAACATCCAAATAGTATGCTGGGAATACAGTGGTAAGAAACGACATGGTGTCCCTCCTCTGAGAGAGCCTATAGTAGAAGAAACAAACAAGGCCTGTGCAGAGGTCCAGGGCAGAGAAATCCTGGAGCCTGAAAGGAGGCAGAAGGATCCAGGACCGCAGAAACCCACTGCTGGGGATGGCAGAAGCAAGGATCAGACCGACAGGCCTTGGGGCAGTTCGGTATTAAAGTGTAAGGACTTTACCTTGAGGACCACGGCACACGACCAATGTGTTTTATGCTTAAAATTGATATTCTTTACATACAAGAAGGGAAGTGAACATTTGCTTTGACGCATAAAGTAACATTTTGAATAAATTCTAACCCTCTCCCTACCCTAAATCCATACTTCTGACATTCACGAAGATTATTCAGAATTCCGTCACGACACAAAGTCCAAGGAAAACACACACTGTGAGCCAAGTACATGTTTTTGCATTTTCTGGTGATTACATCCTTTTTAAAAAATTATTTATTTTACTTGAAAATCAGAGTTCGATAGAGAGAAGGAGAGGGAGAGAGAAGGAGAGGGAGAGAGAAGGAGAGGGAGAGAGGGAAGAGGGAGAGAGGGAGAGAGGGAGAGAGAGAGGTCTTCCATCTGCTGGTTCACTCCCCAGCTGGCCACAATGGCCAGAGCTGCACCAATCAGGAGCCAGGAGCCAGGAGCTTCTTCCAGGTCTCCCACGCAGGTGTAGGGGCCCAAGCACTTGGGCCATCTTCCACTGCTTTCCCAGGCCATAGCAGAGAGCTGGATAGGAAGTGGAGTAGCCGGGACTCAAACCAGCACCCATATAGGATGGTGGCTTTACCTGCTATGCCACAGCACCGACTCCTGGTTACATTCTTAAGAAGCAAAACTGGTACAACATAAGATCAAGAATATATTTCGTTTAGTGGAATATTTGTAGTAATTTATTTCAACATAATTTAAGATCCTGAGATATTTCATATTTTTTCACGCTTTGTATGCAAAATCAGTGCACATTTCACATTTATGGCACATCTCCATCTGGACTGACCACGTTTCAAATGCTCAATGGTTACTGCACTAGCAGTGCGGAGCTGGACTGTACTTTGAGATACATTTTCCCCAATTTTATAGCATTTTTATCATTTTTTTGTGTTTGTTCTCCAAATTATACAGATAATTCATCAGTTTTTAAGCAGAAAAAAAGAAAGGCTTGGTTTTAAAAAATTGTCCCTAACTCCATACAAAGCCACCAGATGTGTGTGCTTGTCCGATAATACCTTACACCCACAATATGAGTGTGATAGGCTTTTAAAGAAGTGAAGTTTGAATCAACACCTCTTTAATATTATGTAAATATTTAGAATCCATGTTATGAGTCCAGAAAAATATATCTCTTGGTGGGGGGACAACATAGGCCAAAAAAATTAAAGTAGTTCTGAATAGAATAAAAGATAATTCAGCTTCAATAATCACTGCCTTTAAGAGCTCATGTAGATGAATATTTCCGAGAACTGTGGAGTCTTACAGGGAACCATGACCATTTTTAGGGAAATGACGGTCTCCATATTACCATATTACCAAAAAGTTCTCACCCTGCTCTTCTCTAATCTTACTGGCATCTGCTTGTTCCATTCTTCCCTTTTCATCCCCAAAACACAAAGAAAAGCAGCAAAAGCAGCAGAGGTACCTAATTTTAAGCAGAGTCAAAAGGTATTTTCTAGAACTTGGAGGGTTTGACTATATTTGTCACTCAACAAATGAGTGGCCAGTGGTCAGTGTGCTGAGTGACAAGTTCACGTCTCTTTCCAGCCTTTGGCTTCACCAGGCACAGAATGCTCAACTCAACCACCACGGAGCCTCCAGCAGAAGTCTGCACCAAGAACACCCTCATCACCCAGCACATCATCCCGGTGCTGTACTGCCTGGTCTTCGTGGCGGGGATCCTCCTCAACGGCGTGTCCGCATGGGTGTTCTTCTACGTGCCCAGCTCCAAGAGTTTCATCATCTATCTCAAGAACATCGTCGTGGCCGACTTTCTGATGGGTCTGACTTTCCCCTTCAAGATCCTTGCCGACTCGGGTCTGGGGCCCTGGCAGCTGACGGTGTTCGTGTGCAGGGTCTCCGCGGTGCTCTTCTACGTGAACATGTATGTGAGCATCGTGTTCTTCGGGCTCATCAGCTTTGACCGGTATTTCAAGATTGTGAAGCCCCTTTCCACGTCCTTCATCCAGTCTGTGAACTACAGCAAACTCGTCTCGCTGGTGGTCTGGTTGCTCATGCTCCTCCTCGCCGTCCCCAACGTCATTCTCACCAACCAGAGAGTTAGGGACGTGACGCAGATAAAATGCATGGAACTTAAAAACGAACTGGGCCGCCAGTGGCACAAGGCGTCAAACTACATCTTTGTGGGCATTTTCTGGCTTGTGTTCCTTTTGCTAATCATTTTCTACACTGCTATCACCAGGAAAATCTTTAAGTCCCACCTGAAATCCAGAAAGAATTCCATCTCGGTCAAAAAGAAATCCAGCCGCAACATCTTCAGCATCGTGTTTGTCTTCTTTGTCTGTTTTGTACCTTACCACATCACCAGAATCTCCTACACCAAGAGTCAGACGGAAACTCATTACAGCTGCCAGTCAAAAGAGATCCTGCTCTACGTGAAAGAATTCACTCTGCTCCTGTCTGCCGCAAACGTATGCCTGGACCCCATTATTTATTTCTTTCTATGCCAGCCATTTAGAGAAATCTTATGTAAGAAACTGCATGTCTCATTCAACGTTCAGAGTGACCTAGACACCTCCAAAATCAAGAGGGGAACTGCAGTACAGGAAAGCACAGACACTTTGTGACTCCCACCTACAAAGTCCATGTATGTACGCTGTCACCTGCAGTTATGCAAGAGGAATAAAAAGGAAACACGCCCAAAATAATGGCATCTCCAGCATTAGCATCCAATTTCCTACAATAATAAAATCCCAATGTAAGTTTCCACGCTTGTTTGTAACATCAGCAGATTTCGTTCCTTCAACTGCCCTCTCTTTTTCCCAATCAATAAAAAGCAAAAAATTTTAGACATAGAGTTATTCAACCCTATTTCAACAATGCATCAGTTTCAAATTTATGATCACCAGTCTGGTCAGCCGTGTAGAAGTTTAAATAGTAAATAAAGAAAACAGGATGTGATCCAAGACAACTCACCTGAACATCTTTTCTTCTCTCAATGCAGGGATTATGTTAGTAGGTTACATGATTTGTTTTCAACAGGATGCTTAAAGATCAACTTAAAAGCAGGTATGGTTTCATAATGGACCACAGGCCTGAATGTCACGAAAAAATCAAGTTTTCTCTGAGTTGAAGAAGCAGGATGAGCACTCAGAAAATCACCTTTAGAAACCTATAGTGATTTATCTCATGGCATTTCAAAGAAAGATTTATGTACTTGGCCATAAGAATGTAATTTATTTTCCTACAGCATGTTGAGGATATTAGATACACATTAAATATGCTATCCACAAAGATGTATCATACCACTTGATGAACCTGGGATTCTGATGTAAGAATTTTTAATTTTTCTACACTTCATTTCAAACAACACAAATGAATAACCAGATGATGGTGTTGGAATATTTTAAAGGGGACTCTACTGCAAAAAAAAAAAAAAACTAGATATTGGCTTATGTCACCAATAATGTCCCCCATTCAATGGTAGGGGAAAAGGGGCTGGCATTGTGTTGTGCCAGCGGATGAAGCCGTCCCTTGTAATGCTTAACCCCTGTATCAGAGTAACATTTGAGTCCAGGCTGCTCTGCCGCCAGGCAAGTTTCCTGCTTACACTCCTGGGAAGGCAGCAGATAATGATCCAAGCACTTGGTTCATTCATTCATTCACTCATTCTCTTTGCCTTTCAAATAAATGAATGTATCTTTTAAAAAAGAAATAATGTGCAATGAGTGCAAAAAATTACATCCAAACAAAAAATTCACAAGTCACCTTTTCTGGAAACAGATGAATTTAATGTGTGGAGATATGGGATATGGATGCTGGCTTGTGAGTCATAAAAATAAAGTTCTTTTTCTGCTATTAACCAGCTAGAAAACCTCAGCCAGTCTTTCCAATGTTCTTTAAGCACTTTTCATAAATAATGTTTGCAGCTATTTCATGTGTTACTGTGTTTGCACCAATAAAATGTTTAAGCTGCTGATTTTTTCCTTAATAATCATCATGTGAGGAGTGAAGACATGGGTGGTTCCTTTCCTAAGCTATACTGCACATGCTATTGGGAGGCAGGAAATTTGCATAGAAAATTCAAAAAGTCTAGTTGCCACTGACTTTTCAAGGAGTATTTTATATGCTCTAGGATCTTATGTTTAGGAAAAATTCAGAAAACACACCCTACTCATTGAGGAAGAGCTAGGAGGGTTTTCACCCTTATCTCTTCTCCATCCTCCTAACAGCTCTCTGTTCCCAACTGTGAGTCAAACAGCCTCTCGGAAAAGCAACAAAACCACTGAGCTATGATAAATGCATGTGGTAAGGTAGGCTTGCTATCTTTCTTTAGCTCTGCACATTTGCACACAATTTTGGCTGCGTTAATTCTTCACAATTCACATTGGCCAGGACACAGCAAATACTAGGGTTTTAAATGCCCCCTACTGGCCATAATAGAAAATGAAAATTAAAAAGAGAAAGCAATAGCACCAAGCCATATCATGTGTATGTGCTAGGCTCAAGCCAACTAGCAATGTGAAAGCAAGATCTTCCAGGAAGCCACATGCAGTGCAGATAAAGATACTGTGATGTAACACTTGCTACACATTAGAGCTTTCAGGTCTGGAGCAACAACTAAAAACGCAGCGGCAGAATACTGGCAGCAGTAGACTGACCCAGAAACTTCTCAAACACCAGTGCTAGTGCAGGTGAAAGAAACGGAGAAAGCAAAGGATGATGGCGAGTTGAGAGCTTGTGCCTCACCAACAGAAGCCAGTTAGCCGTTAGCCCCAGCCAACTGCTACTTCGCTTTTCCAAAAAAATACTAAATCATGAAGTTTTTTAATTGCTGAGCCAGTAATTAAAAGGACACACATCTGTGGCTAGCCTATGATATGCTAACAGCTGCTCTTCAGTATCTGGGAGGCACAAATGTAGTAGAAAGGTGTTCAAAAGTGGCTCGTGATTAGGATGAAAAACCTCCCTCCAGTAAGAATCCTTATGTTTTCTTTAAAAGAATGGCAATTCCATTTCTATATACAATTGGTTCAACCACCTGTATAAAAATGTTCTGAAACGTTTTTTATAAAAGGAATATTATGGTCAAGAAGCATCAAGAAATAGCTAACATTTAAAAATGATCATATTAAAAGACTACATAATCTACCCACACAGGTAGGTGAACCATGCAGTGGTCTTTTACAAAACATCATCAGTGGTGCTCATCTGTCAGTTATCTCCCTGGCCTCTAGCCTCTTTTCCCAGCACTTGTTCTCAGCCATGCGGCTACCACACAACTGACCCTGACTCCACATCAGAGGCAGGCCACAGAATTGGCTCTAGTTGATCAGCAGGTGGGAGCCCACTGGTCACAGGTGGTGGAATGTGACCCAGTTTGGCCCCATAAGAGCAAGACCTGAGTTAGTAGGCAAATTCTCTGGAAGGTATACATGAAGCTGTCAAGCCTAGAAAAGCTTGATATGGCTCCCACAACAGAGGGCCTGGGATGTCTGACCTGTACGCTGACACTGGCATCTGGAAGGCAGAGGCAAGGAAGGGTCTGAACCCAGTCCTCTTACAGAGCCAGGCACACGCTCCAGCCTCTTCAGCAGACACTCAGATTGTCAGATGAGAAGGCTGTGACCGTATAAGCTCAATGTTAGCAGTACAAGTACTTGGGGGGAGAAGGGGAGGAAAGCAAGTACAAAGGGGAAAGCCGTCATTTGGACTCATCTGAAAGAGAAGTAGAGCAGCTCAAGAGAACACCCTCCCACTCCACTCTGTTTCTCCTGCATATCAGTCACGTGTCTGCCACTAGTTCCGCATTCTGTCCTGAACTCTACTGCTGCCAGCTGTATCCCTTAAGGCCGGAGAAAAGGGGGAGAGTAGCTATAAATACAAAAACAAAGTCAGTTACTTGAGAGAAAATATCACACAAATTACAGCACTAGAGGGTTACTGCCCCCAAATGGCTTGGTATTTCTTCTAGGTGAGCTGCACTGTGAGGGTTTGTCGTCTGGCTTGGGAAAGAACAGTCAAAGCCACTGCTTCCTTCTGGTCACTTACTCTCTGCAAAACACAGTGGCATGCGGATGACCATTTCTCGACACAACATCCTCCAAGAAGAAACTGCTTAAACAAAAGGTAGTGTTTCCTTCTCCCAGGTGCCACTTCTCAAAATCGTCAAGCATGCCATGGCACTGCTTGTATAAAAAAGATTAAATGTTGTATTAATTCATCTGTAGTAAATACATATTTCAAACAATATTTATGAGCTAGCTATCAAGAAAAAGGAATTACTGTACAAAATAAGGTATTCCCCAAAGCAATTTAATAATCTATAAGAAATAGGAGACATTATTCCCATTTATATCCCAAATGACCATGGAAGGGATGTTACAAAACCACACCCATCTCAATAACTACAAAATGCATCACGAGTATTTGCATTGATGAAAACTCATGAGCTTTATTTTTTGAAGACGCTCACTGTGTAACCTATGGCATCTCTTGAGGTCACAATCAGAGTTAAGATCTCCCTCCAAGCCACCTCACCCCGCTACCCAACCTATCTCAAGCACTCTGCAGGAGCTGCAACGCTTGGCTTTAGAGCAGGGGTAAGCCTGGTGTCCTATTATCAGCACCCAGGTGTCACCAGCCAGAACCCACACACAAGTAAGGTGGGGGAAGCCCACAGCTGTGCTACTTCCTTCTCTCCCACAACCCCCACCATTCGATGACCTGCTAAACCTTGCCGCAAAGTGCATGGCCACGTCTTCGGGGCTGATTTCCTGTCATTCCATTTCCCGACATGGAGGACATCAAGAGAAGGGGACTCTCCTCAACTAACTCCACACAACACCTTATAGGATTTAGAATAAATTCTAAGCTAAAACTGTCTCTAGAGTTGATGTGCAGCTTTCCTCAAGCTTTAATTACTTAAAGATCTATTGTAAACCACTAGCTTTCTAAAGGAATACTAGCTGTTTGTATATTCTTACTAACAAAAGTGAGACCTCAATCCTGATTGTGTTTGCAAACTGAGTCTGTTTCAACTCCTCTAATCACTTCCTTGCTAAGAAAAACACGCCATGACCAGGCATACTTTCTTATCTGGCCGATATAAATAGTTAGATGAAAATAAAGAGAAATACTATTTTTTTCCTTTTTTTCCCCGTTTTGGAGATTTAAAGTCACATTTACAGAGCGAGCACAAGAGGGAGAATGATTTTTTAAGATTTATTAATTTATTTGGAAGTCAGTTACAGAGATAGAGGGAGAGACACAGAGAGAGATTTTCAATCTGCTGGTTCACTCCCAAAATGGCCACAAAGGCCAGAGCTGGGCCAGGCTGAAGCCAGGAGCTTTTTCTGGGTGTCCCAATGTTCATCTTCCATTGTTTTTCCCAGGTGCATTAGCAGGGAGCTGGATCAGAAGTGGAACAGCCAGGACTCTGGTGCCCAGATGGAATGGCGGAGTCACAGGAGGTGACCTAACCCACTATGCCACAAAGTTGGCCCCCCAGAAATGCTATTTTTAATAAGAAAACAGAAGTTTTACCCATGCTATTCAAAACAAGAGCTCCTTAACTGTTCACAAAGTACATTCCAAATGTCCTGGTTAATAAATGATCAAGTCCTGAGGAATATTTAATACCCAAATGAAAAGGAATTTAAAAAATCAGTCTAGAGGCCTCTGTTGTGGTGTAGCAGGTTAAGCCACTGCCTGTGATACCGGAATCCTGCATGAGCACCAGTTCAAGTCCCAACTGCCCCACTTCTAATCCAGCTCCCTGCTAATGTACCTGGGAAAAGCAGTTGAAGATGGCCCAAGTGCTTGGTCCCTTGCCAGCCACTTGGGAGGCCTGTATGGAATTCCAGGTTCCTGGCTTCAGCCTGCTCCAGCCTTGGCCACAGTGGCCACTTGGAGTGAACCAACAGAAAGAAAATCGATCTCGCTCTTTCTCTCTAACTCTGCCTTTCAAATAAATAAGTAAATCTTTTCTTAAAAAAAGTCTAAGAGCTGGCACTGTGGCTTAGCAGGTAAATCCAACTCTTGTGACACTGGTATCCTGTATAGGTGCTGGTTTGTGTCCCGGCTCCTCCACTTCTGATCCAGCTCCCTGTTAATGGCTTGGGTCCCCACCACTCAAATGGGAGACCTGGAAGAAGCCCCTAGCTCCTTGCTTTCACCTGACCCAGCCCTGGCCATTGTGTCCATGTAGGTAGTGAATCAACAGATGGAAGATCCTTCTCTCTCTTTATCTCTGTGTCATTCTTTCAAAAAAAGAAAAAATCTTTCCCCCAAATCATTCTATAGTCTATCAAAGACGGTGTACTAAAAAAACCTTATCATAAGCCAATAAACCAAAGTCACCTGTCTACCGGCCAAACCTGACTGCTCAGATCTCCCTTCCCAGGACTAAGTCGTCTGTCTGTTCTCCTTCCACCCCCAGCACAGCACTGTCATTTTCCCCCTGCAGTGGTTCCCAGCACCCCACCCTTTCCTAGGCAATGCTAGCTCATCAGTGCCTCCCATCTAAAACCACTGCGGTCATTTCTCTAAGTGCTTTCTTAAGCAACAAAACTGTTCTCTAGGATTGGCGCCCAGGAGGCAGTCTGTAATCAAAAAATATTTCCTGTTAGAATTTTCCATCAATACTTCATCAAAAACACAGAGTTTCATTGGCAGAGAGGGAGAACCTCTCCACAGGACACGCTCCTGGAAAGTAACCCCAGTTTGTCAAATTCATTCTCTGCTCTGAAAACGGGTTAAGCCCAGCTTCCGAAGAAATGGACCGCAACCCCTCAAAGAGGAAAGAAAGGGCATGAGCTTGGGTGACTTAACGAGAAGCCTGATGACCTTTCAAAGCTCTTGCTTGCGGATTTCCCCCACCACACACTATTTTATAACATGGATCCAGCAGCAGTCACACTGCCCAGCAGAAACATAACACGAAATGTACACTGACCCAACAGCAATGTGAAATCAGTG